GGTAGAAGAAACATCCAGCTTGAGGCAGTAGTTGATTTGCTAAAGCACAGCTCAGGACAGAATGTGAACTACAGATTTAACTTGGGCTTGCACAGGTGCACAGTTGCAAAAGAATAACTCAAAGTTTTCAGGGAAAAAAATAACCCACCTCATTTATTTAAGACCAAGGAGCTGATTCTCCTCTACCAAATTAGTTTTCTGTAAATAGTTAATACAGAATGCTCTTTTTTGGTCCATCATAGCAGTTGTTAATCTGTAGAAAGTAAAAAGGCCATTGTGAAAATCTTTCTAAATTGTCAGTTTGAAATGGGGAAGACCTTAGGGTGGCCTTTCAGTACTTAAAGGACGCCTACAGGAAATAGAGGGAGGGACTCTTTTTCAAGGAGTGCAGTGATAGGATTAGGGATAAGAATTTTTAATTGAAAGAGGGTGGATTTAGATTAGGAAGAACCTGTTTACTATGAGGGTGGGGAGACACTGGAACAAGTTGCCCGGAGTAGTGGTGAATGGCCCATCCCTGAGAGTGTTCTAGACCAGGCTGGATGGGGCTTTGAGCAGCCTGGTCAAGTGAAAGGTGTTCCTGCCCACAGCAGGAGATTGGAATGAGATGATTTTTTAAGGTCCCTTCCAACCCCAGCCATTCTGTGATTGGGTTTCCTGGTGTAAGAATGCTCCTCAGACATAGCTGCTGCTATCTAAATCCATTCCTTGAAAAAGTGCTTGGCCCCTGCTACCTGTGTGTGATCACAGCTATGGCACTCTGTAAAAAACAGATGCTCTAAACTAGGAGTTGTTGCAAAATCCTAATACAACTTGTTTGGAGCACCAGATTAAGTTGCAGGAAACCACTGATGAATACAGTAAGATCAACTCTTCTGAATAAATACAATTCTGTCTTTGTTTTTAGAAACCAAACTGTGATTATGCAGTCGGTCTGATGAAAGCCCTGGAATTAGCAATGGTACAGTGGAAAACTATGCTACGATATTTTGAAGAGCTTTATGCCCTGAGTGTTGAAAATGCAGACCCTCATAGTGCAAGCACTATGAAGAAGCAATTTATTGCGCCCAAAATCCGGAAGATCAAGCTAATGGGAGATCTACTCACCAATGCTCGCAGGCTTGACTGTTCCCAAGATGGCAGAAATAGTCTTGGGGATTACTTCATGGACCGGTTGCAGAAAGAGTTCAGAACAAGCATAGAGCCAGAGTCTAGTGATCACTGCAGCCCCTGCCAGCCTCTGCAGCAGTGCACAGGAGCTGCAGAAGGTCTGAAGCGACCCCAGAGAGAATCTTCCCAGCACAGAAATGGCATAGGGCCAATATATGCAACTATACACTGCACTACAATGCTGCCACAGTGTAACGATGGGACAGGAGCAAAAGTGAAGCAGGGCAGGGAGGGCCTTTAATGCTGTGGCTGCTATGGGGCAGTTCCTAAGGCAAACTTTTACAGAGGGTGGAATTGGGACCAGAACTCAGGAGACATGATCCTGTATCACTCCTGTTTTACACCCTGCCCCCTCATCCTCTATTGAGTCAAAATCTAGCCCATACCATTATTTTGTTTAAATGTTAGCAAGGTTGCCAGCTACCTAGATTGTCAGCACTAGTCACACCTAATCTATGCAATTCTTCCTAGAAGCCAAAAGCTTTTAAACTTCTTTTCTGTTTTAAATGATTAACAGGATTATTTAGTGCAAATTTTTAACAGTATATATAATTTTTATTAAAAAAAAGAAACCACTGCAGCTTTAGTACAAGAAAAGTTTTATGTGGCAGGAAATCCAAATATTTAGTTTTATATTCCTGAATATTTTATATTCCTGAATATATATATTAGATATTTTACATTACTAACAAGTATACTAGCATAATGAACTTGTTTTTAAAAAGACTTGGTTTAAAACAAAGTTTTCTTATTTCTATCATAGTAGCAATTTAAATAAGTAGTCAAAATAATTTACGTATCAGGATGAGTAATCTACTTCTTCAGGATGAAGGATGCAACACTGGGAATAAGAAAACATGCTGGTTTTCTCTACAGTTATGTGCCTAGTTGGCTTTTCTCATTGTCAGAAAACAGATGAGAGATAAATTAGGAGTTTTCATTAGCTGAGATCTTTACAGGTTCTATTGCATATTTTGCAAGTGTCACAAGACACTAGCTCTAGGGCTCTGTCCAGACTTAACCTAGGATGGTTGCTTTAGTTTTCATACAGACCCCTATTTCAGCTAGCTCAATTATGGTATTACTATTCTACTCCTGCTATTTCTTGTATTCCCTATTTGGTCCCAAGTAGAGGCATAAGATCCTAGCGAAAAAGCAGCACACTTAACTAGTATTGCATCAGAGAGAGTGGCCACTCATTAGTTTTGCCTTTCAGTTGGGGCAGTATTAGCCAGTTTGGTTAAAGTTCAGAGGTGTCCAAATTCTTTTCCTTCGTCTCCTGCAGGAGTGCCTTGCTTTTTGTACCCTGGCTCCCAAGGTCACTTAAGAAGAGCAACTGGCTAGATCAGCTACCTGCAGCTAGGGTTTTTTTTTTTTTGTCGCTATACACAACATCTTTTATGCAATTGGGGTTTGATTCATTGAAAGATTGTCTCACACTTTCATGTAATACTGTAAGTGATACTCCTATTCTTGAAAATAAATTCAGTTCAATGTTACAAATGGTTCTTTGCCTCTCCATTTTATTCCTCAATTCACCAGCCAAGTATGCTGGTATTATTCTCCAAGAGATTTTGCATATGTATACAAAACTTCACCAGTACTTTTCTTCATGCAAGAAAGTTTGATGGAAGAGTATGCCACAGAGTGAAAATAAATGCCGGAAAACTTCATTACTACAAAAACACTGCACAATGAAACATTTTCTGTAAACTCTGCTGTTAATACACAGCTGCAGTTGAATAGCAATTTCTGCAAAGCCCACCTACTTTCTGTTGGTGGTGTAACACGGGACACACAATTACAATGTAGATGCTTTCCCAATCTTTTTGTTAATGGGATTCAACATTAGTGGAGGGGGGACACACAACCACTTTAAAACAACCCCTGTATTCATCTATAAGAGTACTGCAATGTGCCAGAAGAGTGGCTCAAAGCACTTTTACCAACATGCTGGATTTGCCGATGTTGAGATGGCTGCTCTCTAAAACAGCAGTAGTTTAAAAGCTATTTCCATCTGGGCTAGATTCCATCACCCATTCTCATGCTGAGCATACCTTATTCAACAATTAGTTCCACTGACTGCAACTCAACATGAATAAGAGCAATGGAATCCGTCCCTCTCAGTATTAAAATACAGCTTGCTAAGTGTGAACAGAGCAAAGCTACTAACTGAAGTATAAAACTAGTGCTATATAAAACCCCTTCAAACACTACTGGTAATGTTTGACCTACTCCTACAACAACTTTCTCCTTTAAGAGTTGGTACCTTCTGAAATGTAGGTACAGCCTTCTCGATGGTTTCCTGCACTTAAGACTGTCTTTTACCTTAAGCAAATTCCAACATAACAACCTAACATCGAAATTTTTCAAAGCAAGACTTACCTCTTATTTTTCTGTGAAATACTACCACGTCCATTTCTCAGGCTTCTCATACTCATCTTCTAGCCAACTGTATCCACAGATTCTCAGAATTTAGGGCTTTCTCTCTCCCTTTTCCAAAATTCACTTTCCGGGCCCTCTGCCTGAAAAGACAGATAACCTCACAATCAGCTGTTTTCCCAGTCTCTATCTTCTGAAAAAGAAAAGAGAAATCAGTTACTGTAGATAATAAGCTCTTCTTGTCCACATGCTGCTTCTGCTGAGGGCACATATGCTTGTGAATATGGTCTCAGATTTGTTAATAATACCTGTCTGTTGTGTATAGGGTGAGTCTGGCCACGCTTCTTAGCATAAGTACAATCTGCCTCTGACTTCCCATTTTCCTTTTCAATCACCTCCTGAAAAAAGAAGATGAAGGATGAAATGTGGAACAGGTGTAAGGGGAACAGTGCTTATAGAAACTTTACAAATTCTCCTTCTCTGCTGAATGCTTGTTCATATACACTCTCAGTATCTGTACTTCCAAAGTGATGCCCAAACCATCCAAATACACGATCTGGGGAAGCTCTGAATAGCTAGTTCTCTAAAGAGATTCCAAACTGGAATCTCTGGAGAGACCTAATCTTTACTGAAATTAAGAGTTACAGCCACAGAGGCTTCCAAAGAGGTTTAACAATAGAATATTTGTAATATTTGCCATAAACACTAGCTATGGTTTCTGACTCTCAGTGAGAAATGCACTTAAAGTCTCCAGGTGGAGACCATGCCGCCCTTCGTCCTCTTCACTGTAGCCACATAAAATTAAGAAAAGCATCTCAGGATTTGTTCTTTGCAAGGACTTTTTTTCAGGCCCCACTGTACAAGGCAACATCTTTCTGGACAAACCTGGACATACTGGAAAGCGGATGTTAGTTCTGGTAGCAGCAGCAGGGAATCACAGAATTGTTAGGGTTGAAGGGACCTCTGGAGGTCATCTGGTCCAACACCAGAGGAAGGTGTCCTCAAGGGCACCTTCACTGGAAGATCACTGCACGGAATTCACCATCTGGTCATGGCCTTCTCCTGACCTTTGCACTTGGCTGAGTGCAAAGCACTTAACTGCATTCATGGGCAAATACTGGCAAACTCCTCTGAGTGCTTGTCAAAGTCTCACCATTTGTTACCACATTGCCCAAGGTAACCACTATGTGCTCAAGTCCCAGGGTATCTTTTCCTGGGGTTACATACAAGCTAGAAATGAGCAGTGGCAGAATAGGCCACAATACTGACTAAATATTAGGTAAAATTACCTTTTCCACAGATTAAAACAATGGTCTGGAAAGATTTTAAGTGTCTAGAGTGGGTCAGACTGCCAGCACCAAGCCTTGATATCCAAATTTACATGTTTAGTTGTTAGAATATGTTATGGCATACAACTATTTCTCATTTATACTTACTTTGCATTATTGTATGCCTTGCACTACTTTGAATACAAATTATTTTTACTTTATTAACTGTTCAATAAAGATTTTAAAATAAATCTGTGTATTCCTTCTGGATCAAAGAACCTGTGTAATAACAGTGAAGTTTCCAAAAGTTTGCTACTCTGCCTCTCAGAGACAGCTGGGAGATATATTTCTAAATGTGTAAGGGTGGTCAATAGCCAATCTCCCTGGGACATATCGCTTTTCAGCATTGGATACAGTGAAAGAGCGGACTTGTACAGAGTCCAAAACATATAGTTTTATCTTTAAATAAAACTTTTATCTTTTGGGGATAATGATAGAAGGTGACTTACAGTTCTTATTGTTCTCTGTACTTGAAAACATTTAAGTAAATAGAAAATGGGGACTGCAGATTAGGAATTTTTGCAAAAAAATCGGATCATATAACAACAAAAGAAATCACCATCACAACAGCCCCTACAAGAAGTCATAGGCACGGGGATTGGGGGTTGGTCATTGATGGATGTCTTTTACCTTTTCAGATTCTGTGAGTCCTTGCCCCACTGAAGACAGAGCTTTGTCATTGATTTTGAAAGAGTTAAAATTTCACCAATGTTTATAACTGCAGAACAGAGATTAATTGTAGCTCTTGGTACATTAAAAATATGCATAACTATTTCAACCATGAAGTCAACGAAATCATATAGTTGAATTACTGAAGTGCCTCTGAAAAGAACCTAATTTCTCATCTCAAACGATATTCCAAAAACAGAGTAAAAACTCTTAGCACCCTTGAGAGGCGTTACCAAAACCCATCCTATTTTTCCAAGCTCCAAACTGCCACTGCTCTCCAACTGCAGTGTGAAACGCCTCTGCACGGGGTGGACTCCACCTCTGCAAAGGTTCCAGAATAAAGGTAAACAGAGGCTCGAGCTGAAAGAGGAACCTGAAATGCGAATTTACACAAGGACACCTGAATTCCGAGGGAAAGGCCGGCGCACTCCACGGCCCTCGGGCACAGCGGCTTTTCCTGACGGGAAAAGCCGACACCGCCCCCCACAGGCGGCCCGGCCGCCGTGCGGGTCCCGCGGCCACGACCCGCCCGTCGCGCTGCTCCCGCACGGTCCCGGCTCTCCGCGGTGCCTCGGGGCCGTGCGGGGTGGCTCGGTCCCGGCTCTCCGCGGTGTCCCCGGCCCTGGCACCGCCCGCTCTCACGAATGTCTCGGCAGTAGTTACCCTCGTGGCCGCAGAGCCGCGGCCGGCGCGGAGAGACCTGTCCCGGCGCCGGGGGCTTCTTCCCTGGGAGAAGCCAGCGGAGCCGCCAGCAGTGTGCGGTGCCGTGCGGTGCCAGCGCGGCGCGCCGCTGTCCCCCCGGGCGGGCGGCCGGCGGTCCCGGCACCTCCGGGCATCGGGGCGCTTCGCTCCCCCTGGCGCGCCGGCGGCGCGGGCTGCTCAGAGCTAAAAGCAGGGGGGAAAAGAGCGTTCCGCGCAGCCGAGCGCCCGGGGCGGCTGGGCTCGGGGCTGCCGGGCTCGGGGCTGCCCCAGCGCCCGCGGAACACCGCGCCCCCCCCGCCGCCCCGGTCCCCGACCCGCCCGGCCGCGCCCCCCGACCCGCCCCGTCCCGTCCCGACCCGCCGCGCTGGGGGGCTCGGCCATAAATACGGCCTCGAGTGGCGCTCCAGGACCGGCGCGGCTGGGGAGGGGGCCGGGGCAGCAGGCAGCGCTGGTGGCCTCGCCTGGGAGAGGCTGCGAGGGTCTCTGCTCCGCGCACCCGCCCGGCCACGGAACCGCCCGGTGGAAGCCCCCTCCTTTCTGATCCCCTCGCTCTCCCCTCTGGCCCAGCCGCTGACCCGTCTGCCGCCCCCATGGACTTACTGGGCCCCATGGAGATGACGGAGGGCTCCCTCTGCTCCTTCACGACTGCTGATGACTTCTATGATGACCCGTGCTTCAACACATCGGACATGCACTTCTTTGAGGACCTGGACCCCCGGCTGGTGCACGTGGGGGGTCTTCTGAAGCCCGAGGAGCACCCACACCACCATGGACATCACCACGGGCACGAGGAGGAGCATGTCCGGGCACCCAGTGGGCACCACCAGGCCGGCCGCTGCCTGCTGTGGGCGTGCAAGGCTTGCAAGAGGAAGACCACCAACGCCGACCGCCGCAAGGCTGCCACCATGAGGGAGCGGCGGCGGCTCAGCAAGGTCAACGAGGCCTTCGAGACCCTCAAGCGCTGCACCTCCACCAACCCCAACCAGCGCCTGCCCAAGGTGGAGATCCTGCGCAATGCCATCCGCTACATCGAGAGCCTGCAGGCCCTGCTGCGGGAGCAGGAGGATGCTTATTACCCCGTGCTGGAGCACTACAGCGGGGAATCGGATGCCTCCAGCCCCCGCTCCAACTGCTCTGACGGCATGGTGAGTGCCCTAGGGAGGACTCCCTGCCACCAAGGTGTGCTGGACATTGTCGGTCCAAACCTGAGCAGGGCAAGTCTCCTCTTCCTGCCTTTCCTATAGCAGCTGCCTTCTGTACCTCTCCAGGCAGAAGACAAAGTCCTCTCTCATGCCTTGAACTCCCACGGCAAAGGGAGGTGGGGTTCCCACATCCCACGATCTCAGGGAAAGAAGAAAAATCTCTTACACACTTTTTTCCAGGGATGAGAAGTTAAGCAGGTGTCCTGAGGACTTTGGGAAGCTGCCTGGGATGGGTACCTGGGGGCATGGTGAGGTCTGAGCCCTACCTGTGCTCCTGTAGCTCCTGAGGCATCTCTTGTTTCCATCTTCTGCTGTATCATTATCTTTGAATCCTCTACGGATTCAAAGCAGAGAGGAAGGGCCCTCTTGGACATAGTAGTTACATGGGAATCTTGTTTTCTGCCATTCATCAGGATAGCAGGAGGAGGGTCTAAGCAACAGGAATTGTTTTTCTTGATCCGTAAGAAAATTGTTCTCTATTTCTCTTCTCACTCACTTCATCCCCTCCATAGACATTTACCAGCAATAGGAAGGAGAATCCAGGCTTTCAGTGCTGTTTGTACATTATGGGGATGGGAGAAGAAGGGTGGGGGCCAGAGGGGGTGTCTCATCATCACATCTTTAGACTGGGACTATAGGTGCAGACTCTGGTCTGATTCTAGGGTGTGGGACACAGTGACTGGAGTGCAGGACAGATATCTGGATGGGATATCAACAGCATTTTAAAATTGGAGATTGTTTTCTGTGCTCTGGTGGAAATAATCATTACTGAGTTGAATACCTGTGATTATAAGATAGTTGACAGACTGGAAAAAAGATTTACCAAAATGATCCCTCTTCAAAATACAGCCTCTTTTAACACAAAGAGTAATTTCATTAGGGATTAAAGTAATGGAAACAAACATATTGGTCAATGTTTTGGAGTTTTTTCTGAATGAAATGGAAATGGGAAAAGAAACTAAAGGAAATACAAAGGGACGAGGGTAGACAGAAGCTTTTTAAGAGGAACTCATGTTTTGAAAAATCTTCAAAAACTAACTAAAAGATCTCATTGCCCTTTCAGTTTTCCTGTTGTAAGCTGAAAATATATGTAGGGCTGTATCTGATCAGAATGCTGGAAAGCCTCATATCATCTGTAAAGCTTCAGCATTTGATGCAATAGTGGTAACTTTCCTGTGGAACAGCTGTGCCACATAAAATATTCTGGGGTGGATCCACTTATCTTTTTCCTCATTCGAAGAAACTACAACTTGACGGCATTTCAGCCAGGACTGGAATGATGGCCTAGACTAAAGATTGAAATACTGGGATTTCTGTAAGTGCAGTGACCTCACTCAGATTTCTCTCCTTTCCAGATGGAGTACAGCGGGCCTCCGTGCAGCTCTCGCCGAAGAAACAGCTATGACAGCAGCTACTACACGGAATCACCAAATGGTGAGTACGTGCCGTAACGGCAGTGTGGAACATGGAGACAGAGGCAGGCAGTGCAGCAAACTACCCTGTGCCCGCTCTGTCTCCAGCTGGACTGAAAGAGGAACCTGCCTTTCCAGCCAGCAAGCTGTTGCTGCCGAGAGAGGCATTGAATTTCCTCTAGATGTATTTGCAAATATGAGGATATCTTATAGCCGCGTTTCCTATTTTGCAAATACAACATTTGGATAAAAGTATTTTCCTCTCTGCAACTAAGTTTCTGTGTTTAACCATGTTTTGCATGAAGACTCTTCCTACTTTATGTGTCATTGATCCAAAGTGGAGAAATTTTGGATTGATTTCAAATCTTCACTTTCTATGGACTAAGTGAAGCCATGGCCTCAGAGCAGCACATTGTGGTTGGGCCTCTTTTCCATTTTGCAATGACAATCTCTGTTTTCCAATAATTGGCATCCTTCACTAATATTAATTTCCTCTGAATCTTCACATACTCACAAGTGCCTACTAATGTTAAGTACCCACTGGATAATCTGAGCACCTTTTTGTCTGTTTTTTAGATCCAAAGCATGGGAAGAGTTCTGTTGTGTCCAGTCTCGATTGCCTCTCAAGCATTGTAGAGAGGATTTCTACAGATAATTCCACATGTCCTATACTGCCTCCAGTGGAAACTGTTGCTGAAGGGAGTCCCTGTTCCCCCCCAGAAGGAGTGAGTCTGAATGATAGTGGAGCCCAAATTCCTTCCCCCACCAACTGCACCCCACTTCCCCAGGATAACAGCAGCAGCAACCCCATCTACCAAGTGCTGTAAGGGCTGGTCCAGCTGGACTGCACTGAAAACAATTTGCTCCATCTGGCCCTGCTTGAGACCTTCCTTCTAAGATTGAAAAGACTTCTTAAGACTTGTTCCAGTTTTAAAATATCACTCAAAATTCCTTCAAATATATAACTTTTCAAACCTGTATCACTTCAAAATACACATAGTTATTTATTGGTTGTTAAAGTTATTTAATATGACTAGAGATAAAATTGTATACCACGAAATGGCCAATGTTTAAACTGGGCTGTGGGGAATAGGAACCTGGCTCTTGAATGTGGAGGAAAATAGAAATCTAGAACAGCAGTGGCACGAGAGATCCTTCCTATTACTCCTGTTCTGGCCAAAATAAGGTTGTGGACCATTTTTTTTTTTA